AAACCCATGCCCTCCCCCTCTCTTTTTCACCCCCTCCCCTCCCCCCCCCCTCTCTCTCTCTCTCTCTCTCTCTCTCTTTTTCTCTCTGTCTGTCTGTCTCTTTCTCTGTCTCTCCCTCATCCGCGTTGTTGATCCGGAATCACACACATTAAGTAGAATTGTGAAAAACATCGGAGATCAACATGAATCACAAAGGTCGTACTCCGTAATGGTACTGTATAATATTGATGAAGCTAATTAGATTTAGGTCAGATGTTTGGAAAGATATGTGCCTGGATACACCCGGGATAGGAGGACGGTGAAGAGAGAAAAAGAGAGAGAGAGAGAGAGAGAGAGAGAGAGAAGGGGAGGGATAGAATACACCCACGCAGATACAACGTAACAAGCTTTTACAAGTCATACAAGCTGGAGAGAGAGACAGAAAGCAATGTTATTATTAGAGTCGGGCACAGACATGCAGAGATGTACATGATTAGGCCATTTAAAAACAAAAAATTATGTTTAGCACAGGCGCGGTTCCAGGGGGGGGGCGAGCGTGCCTTGGCCCCCCCCCCCCCGCAAAAAAAAAAAAAAAAAAATAAGGAGAGAGAGAGAAGGAAAAGAAGGGAAAGAGGAGAGAAAGGGAAAAAAAGAAGAGGAAGAGAAAAGAAAAGAGGGAAGAAGGAGATCGGGGGGAGGACTTGCCTCCCCCTTCCCCCCCCCCCCCCAATAAAAAATAAAAGAGAAGGAAGGAAAGGGAAAGAAAAAAGATAAAGAGGAGATAAAGGGAAGGACAAAATAGGAAGAAGAAAAGAAAAGAAGGGGGATATCAGTTGCAATTTTCCCGCCAACAAGTTGTGAATCGAGGGGGGGGGGCAAAATACCCTAGCCTCCCCCCCCCCCCCCCCCCCCCCGTCCCCGTTAAAAAAAAAGAGAGAAGGAAGGAAAAGGAAAAGAGGAGAGCTAAAAGGGAACAAAAAGAGGAAGAAAAAAAAGAAAAGGGAGAAAAGAAGTGGAGATCAGTTGCGGTTAATCCCGCTAACAATGTGTGGAGCGGGTTGGGGACCAAAATGACTGTGCCCCTCCCCCCCCCCCCCCCCAGCAAACCTAAAAGAGAGATAAGGAAGGGAAGGGAAAGTGAAAGAGGAGAGAAAGGGAAAGGGAAAAAAAGAGAATGAAGAAAGGTAAGGGATATCAGTTGCAATTTTCCCGCCAACAAGGTGTAGATCGGAGGGGGGGGGGGGGGGGGGCACTGGCATACTGATAGGGGAGGGGGGGGTTGGAGAAACAGAATTCAAACGTGGTTTATTTATAATTCCATAACTGTGGTCTTGAGATGCCTACATATCAGGGCCCGCGAACGGCGGGGATCGGGATCCTCGAGCCCCTCCCCCACACTTTCTTTGAAAAAGTATATTAAGAGAAATAGAAAGAAAGAGAGCGAGAAAGAAAAAATAGTTAACTGCCAGTGTCACATTATAATGGGGTATCAAAATATGCTCATCTGACCATGATTAAAATTAATTCCTAAAATCCTAAGGGCTCTGCCCCCTGGATTCCACCTAGGGCCCTAAGGCGGGTCCTTAGATGCTCATAATTATGACGGTCATTTAATGCCTAAAATCCCTGATTTCTGGGGGCTCTGCCCCCTGGACCCCACGCCAAATAGTGTCCTGCTAGTGTCACAAATAATAAGGTATCAAAATGCTCATCTGACCGTAATTAAACGCCTAAAACCCCTGAGCTTCTGGGGGTTCTTTTCCCCCTGGACTCAACCAAGAGCCATTAGGCGGGCCCCTCGATACTCATCTGACAAGGTATCAACATAATTATGTTCATCTGACAGCAGGCGCGTAGCCAGGGGAGCGGTAGGGTGGTCCCCCAATAAACGCCGGCCAAAAAAAAGAGGAGTGTAAAGGAAGAGGACGTAGGAAGAAAAGGGAATAGACAAAGAACATATTTGAAATTCAGACAAGGATTAAGAGTCAGGAACAGTACAACGAATCGTCTTCTTTCTCTAATGAATTAATGAAACGTCAAAGCTTCCGCGCTACGCGCGGGGGAGGGCAGGGGGGATTGATTTAGACAAGGATTAAGAGTCGAGAACGGTACGACGAATCTTCCTCTTTCTCTAATGATTTAATGAAAAGTTAAAGCTTCCATGCTTCGCGCGGATGGGGGAAACTAAATTATTTTCGAGAGCGGAACAACGAATCGTCTTCATTCTCTAAAAATTTAATGAAACGTCGAAGCGGGGGGAAAACTGAATTTAGACAAGGATTAAGAGTCGAGAACGGTACAACGAATCGTCTTCTTTCTTTAATGATTTAATGAAACGTAAAAGCTTCCGCGCTTCGCATGAGAGGGGGGAAACTGAATTTAGACAAGGATGAAAAGTCATAACGGTACAACGAATCGTCTTATTTCGCTAATGATTTAATGAAACGTAAAAGCTGTATTCAGACAAGGATTATTTTCGAGAACGGTACAACGAATCGTCTTCTTTCTCTTATGATTTAATGAAACGTACAAGCTTCCGCGCTTCGCACGGGAGAGAGGAGGGGAAAACTGAATTTAGACAAGGATTAAGAGTCGAGAACGGTACAACGAATCGTCTTCTTTCTCTAATGATTTAATGAAACGTAAAAGCTTCCGAACTTTGCGCGGGAGAGGGGGATGAATTAAGACGAGGATTAAGAGTAAAAAACTGTACAACGAATCGTCTTCTTTTTCTAATGATTTAATGAAACGTAAAAGCTTCCGCGCTTCGCGCGGGAGGGGAAAAACTATTTTCAGTCGAGTAGGCACGTACGGAAGGAATGGGGAGGGGGTTATGGGGTTGACCCTCTCCCTTCGGTTTTTTTATGTGTGTATTTTGGAGCAACCCCCCCCCCCCTTTTTTCTGTGATTTTTTTTTTTTTTTTTTAATCTAATTTTTTTTTAAATATGCCAATGGCTGACCTAAAATAGGTGACCTCACCCCCCCCCCCCCCAACGGAACAAAATGTCAAATTTTCAAATTTCGAGACCAAAAAAAAAATAGTGTCCTCTTCTCCCTCCCCCCCCCCCCCCCCCCCCCCCCCCCCCCCCCCGCTTATTTAGCGGCTGGCTGAGTCGTTACGATTTTTTTTTCGGACCAAAAAAAAAAAAAGTGGCCCCCCCCCCCCCCCCCTAAGAAATCCTGGATCCGCGCCTGGTTTAGCGTTCCCGCCCGCTTCCCTTTTTGTAAAATGAAAAACAAAACATACTGCTAAAATAATCTATTTCTGATTTTTAAAATCTTTAAAAATAGCCTGACTGTCTGGGTAAAAATGTACAAAGCGGCCATTTTGAAGAAAAAACAGAAGAAAAAAAAAGGGCCTCCTGCTTCCTATTTTCAAAAAGGCAGGACGCTTAATTTTTTTAAATGGCCTTATATATTATAGTGAGAGAGACAGAGATAGAGAGGGGTGGAGAGAGAGAGAGAGAGAGAGAGAGAAAGAGAGAGAGAAAGAGAGAGAGAGAGAGAGAGAGATTAAGAAACAATCATTCTGATATTAATGTGAAAGAGACAATTAGACGTCGTTGATCAGAGCAACGCAGAACACGACAGACTATGTCATTGAGTGCATGGGCGGTGTTGATAAGGAACCCCTACCAACTACCAAGTATCTTGTTTGTTCATCTGTTGGTTAACAGCTAAATAAGTGATTCTACAAGTGACTCCCTTTGTATAATTGAAAATCTATAGTACCGTCTAATCATTCTTAGCTTTTTCATTTCAACCCCCGTATGTGATATATACATTGGACTATATATTTACTCGATTTACCCAACTAGAACGCGTACTGTTGGACACTTTGATCACTCACTTTTAAAAAGCACCTTGGCCGTTAAGTTTTAACGGACTTTCTTAAATCACATTACCAGGATTTCAGAAGCAAAAAATACATTGAAAAGCGCAGTGGATTAATATAGTCGAGCATTAGTTTCAAAACGTCAAAATTTAGGCGCGCCAATTATTGCTACAGATAAACGGCGTAAACAACAGACCAGCTTACTACTGCTAGCAATGTTTTCCCCTAAAGATTATATATTTGTCATGAGCCCGGAAGTTTATCAATGATGGATAAAAGAGTAAGTGACAGTTTTTTTCCTTTTAGTACAATTGCAATACGTTGAATTCAAGAGACACAGAGAGAAAGAGAGAGATGGATAGAGAGAGAGAAAAAAAAAAAGGGGGGGGGGAGGTATACCAAAATTGCGTTAAATTTCTTTTTTTTCCTTTAAAATCTTGATTTAAAAGCATGGTTGAGGGTCTGTATGAATTTGAATCATATTAGTAAACTACATTCATATATATGAACATGACTTTGTATCCGTATTGAGTTTTGTCTGTGTATTTATTAATTTTCCCAATGTATAACTTACCATCATATCTTCCATCTAACCTGTCCAAAGTATTGATTTCATTCACTGATGAAATTTCATATTTTACCGCTAAATTATGGAATAACTTGTCATTGCTCTAGCAACGTATTGACAGCAATTCATCGTTGAATTCTGTACAAATGATCAAATGATAGCCGGTTATTTAGTCAACATAAGCTTGTCCGGCAAGAGCCGGCAACGATCTACGACCAGTCCGAGATCAGTCTAAGATCTGTCGTTACACGGTTGTACGACACATGTTCATGGGGCAATTGCACCTCTGTAACTTCCTTCACTAACCGAATTCCTTCCTTCAAGCTAAGACCAAAAGCTATATGCCTATAATCCTAATTTTACCTCCAAACTTCAGACGTAGTAAAGCCCTGAGCAAACGAAGGATGACCTGGGCAACCGATCAAAGACAATACATATTTTCCCCACGTCGGGAGCGGTGTGGTCGGTGAAAGGCTTTTGACGCAGCAACGTTGAGCTAGACCATGCGACTACCTATAACTACCTGAAATTGATCAAGCAAAATGTCAGTGACATACTTTTAAAGGCTGCTTCAACACATCTCTACTTTCCCAGTCTGACAACTTTCAACCGGTCAGTGGTTGCCCAAAGTGGACGATCTGTCGGATGCCTAGTGTGATAATGAAGTTTAGAAACAATTAGTAGTTTCTTCTGCCAAAATGTCATCTCTGCATGCAGTTTCATGATTCTTTTCTGTCATAAACAGTAGACTAGGCTTGAAAATATTAAAGATAAACGATAGTTTCCATTCTAACATGTCTCTTTGTTTGATTTATAAACTAGGAAGGAAGTCATGACGTGTGATCTGAAGTCTTTCAAGATGGCACTAACATTTCATCACCCTACAACCTTTGTCAACATGGTAATTTTCCACACCAACATGACTACGACCCGCAACATCGTTAGTGATGCGCCTGACGATGGCTTCGTCAGCCATCATAATCTAGCAACAGCCATTATTCTTGTCGTCATTTGCATTGTTGGCATCGTTGGAAACATCTTCGTGATCGTCGCTGTCCAGTTAACCCGCCGCCTTCAAACATTCACTAACGTCTTCGTCGTCGTCCTGAGTTGTACGGATTTTCTGACCGCAATGACGCTACCTTTCCAGGGTGGCACACTTCTTGGGCTTGTGGACGCATATCCGGCTTTTGCAGTCGTCTGCGAAGTGATCGGCGGTCTCTCATTTATATTCAACGGATGGAGCATTATTACATTGGTTGTGATAGCATTTAATCGATACATCCTAATTACTCATCAGTCGCAAACGTATCGCCGAATATTCTGTAAAAAGAACATCGCCATTATGCTTGCAGTTATTCTCTCATATCCTTTATGTTCCGTCATTCTCTTTGGAACGACTGGCTGGGCGGTGTTTGGAGAAAAATGCAACACGTGCGCTGTAGTGGAGGGCAGAGCTTTCAACCTCCTTTCTGGTATTTCCATGGTGACACTGATGGTCGCCATCTTGTATTTCTACCTGAAAATCTACCTTCATGTGCGGAACCACGTCCGAAAAGTGCACGACAAACTGGAGAATCAAAATCCACAGCCCTCGTCTACACAACAATCATCAGTAGAATGTAAGACAACAAAGACAAATTATAAACAGGAGTCGATTAAGAAAGATAGGCCTAATCGAAAAAACACTGAAGCGAAAATCACCAAAAACATGCTGTTTGTTGTTTTGTGTTTCTTTGTCTGCATGTTACCAATCACGGTTAATTTATTTGCGACCGAGCTCAATCCGACGATGGTAGCTTATTTCGTGGTCTTTCTGTCTGTGAACTGTTCCTTGAACCCTATCATCTATGCCTGGAAGCATCCGGTATTTCACCAGGTGTTCAGGTGCATGCTCAATCGTCGTCTGCGAGATGTTGAAGAGCCTTCCCGGTGGCTTCGGGACCACTTGTCGAAAAGATAAAGACCACTTAGGGTCATGCGATTGCATTGTGAAAGAAACGTTGTGGAATCGATCAGAAAAGGTTGATCATCTAGCATATAAGTATTGGTGTGTACTGCGAGGTTCTGGAATCATCAAAATGATAAGAACTCTGGCCCAGCCTTGGTAAAGTTACAAGCACTGTACACAGAAAGATGGGACTACGCGACACGTGCGTTACATCTATCTGGTCCAAATAGATATACTAATTTACCAAATCTATCAATAAGTAGGCGGTTTCTCGGCAAAATTTGTATCATCACGTATTAGTCAAAACATAGTCTTTCACATGATTGGCAATTAGAGCTTCCATTTCATTTTTTGAGAGGGGGGCGTTTCCAAAACTGGCCTTTACCTTTAAAGAGAAGGTTGAGTTCTGGAAAGACTGAGGTGAAAAATAATTTGTGAGCGGTATCATTGTTTTATACAAGTGTGGAAGAACATCAGATAAAAAATGTCCACTGAAAAGCATGGCTCTTCAAATGCCTTCATATTCTAAATATGGCATGCAACATAATAAAAATCGGAACAGATTATTATGCTGCATGTTCGTGTAGTCCCATATACATCTTCTGTGTACAGTGCTTAATTGTTACATTGCCAAGACTGGGCCAAATTTCTAATCATTTTAATGATTCCAGAACCTTGCGGTACACACCAATACTTATATGCCAGATGATTAACCTTTTCTGATCGATTTCACAACGATTCTTTAAAAATGCAATCGCTTGACCAGAAGTCAACTTATCTTTAAAGGAATTGGGTAACTTTGTCTCTGATTCTGAAACAAAATCCTGGATTTAGCTCATGCTGCAATGATAAATAGGTCAGTCAGGAACCCCATGACTTTTACAAGCCGATCGCCTGTCTGATTATCAAGATAAGTATGATTGGAAATCAAAATCAAATTATGCGTTTTCCTAACGGTTTTCATAACACTACAGTCTATTGAGGAAAATGAGTATGGTAAAAACCGATCACTCAAAGATTTTTACTTCTTGATCATTTTGAATCGCAATTTTGTTAGGGCTTCAATATTACACCATATCACAGAAACTGATTTCACATAGGGCCGTGATCTCAGATTTAACATTGTTAAACGATGCCTTTAAGTAATGTTATGATCGCAACCTGGTCACAACTCACGTGTCTTTAGGCTTTGGGGGTTAGGGTCAACAGGCGCGGATCCACGGGGGGGGGGGGGCGACGGGCCCGACCCCCCCCCCCCCCCGAAAAAAAGGAAAGGAAAGGAAAGGAAAGGCTAAAACACGAGTTAGGAGTGGACCCAGGTCCCTCACCTATCCGTATATAGGCCAAGCTCCCGCGGTTCAGCTGGACATGCGCCGAGCTTTGGGTTGTTTTCAGGTCAAAACTAGCCCTAATTCGTGTTTTAGGCCTATATATTATGATAGAAACAAACTGCCGATGATCTCTCTACACTAGGGCGTACAAGTTACAACGTTCAAAAGTATTTCAGGACTCGGTTAACCTTAGGTCCATCCGTCAAATCATCATGCTGTTACACAGTGTACATGGTCCGCGGTATGGCGGGGCTCGAGCCCCCCCCCCCCCCCCTCTTATTTGAAAAAGTATTTTAAAGAGAAATAGAAAGCAAGGCCCCAGAAAAAAAAAATTCCTGCAAAATGCGAGACCACATATTTTATCTACATAAAAGCGCGACTTAGCAAACGTAATTAAGGAAAAAAGCACGAAAAAATAGCAAATGCGAAAAGTAAAAACACGGAGGCATCGTGAAGCATGTCGGCAAAGCTTCCAAATTCGGCAGTTCGCGGATTTATAAAATTAGTTTCGTAAAAGTGGTCGTAAAAGCCTGATTTATTCAGAAAATTACCCATTTTTATCGCCAGAATCTGGGTAAAAACACTGCATTCAGTTGAACAGGTGCACAGAAGACGACCTGTCAGTCTAAATTTTTCTTTTTCAATCTGCCCATAATATTTATTATATGTAAATTATACCGAATAAAATTAGTCTCATGCACATCGTTTACTAGTGTCACAGATGGGTTGTTACTGTTACACTATATGGACAGATTGGATAGATGCGTAAATCATTAAAAATTAAAATCAATATACGATGCGAAAAGGATTCTTCTCCAGCTTCCGGAAACCAATCTGGGATTTGTGTTGTGTCCTGCAGGACGTAATTACTCACCTCTTTTGCATAATGTGTGCGTGAGATTTGGTTCTTTCTTATACCTCCCCCTTTTCATCTCCGATGAGTGCATGCCCTTATTACAATTTGAGAGGTGCCCCCTTTAACTCTATAATAAGTGCCCCTTTTCATCTCTGATTAGTGCCATTTTTCTTCTGAAAATTGCACTTTTTCCGTTGTCATAAGTGCCTATTTTCATCTGTGGTGAGTGCCCCTTATTAAGTGCGAGGAGTGCCCCATTTTCACCTCTGGTAATTCCCCTTTTTACTTTGACATGTGCTCTTTTTCATTTCAAATATTAAGTGTCATTTTCCCCTTTGGATATGTGCCCCCTTTTCCTTTCCCCATAAAAAGTGCTCCTAATTTAAAGGGATTAAGAGGAACTTTTCTATAATTTCACCCAAGTGTGGCTCGCTACGCTCGCTCGTATTTAAAGTTGATATAATTATGGTTCATATTAAAGATCTTTTCAGTCTTTCATGATTAGATTGTGCTTAAAACCCCATCAGGATTTTTTTTCTTCTTTATAAGAAGTAATTTTTTTTCACTGCGACCTCACAAATCCAAATTTTTTGCTCGCTCGCTTCGCTCGCTCGCAAAAATTATTCTTACCATCACGAACCAACTACAAAGTAAATGTGTGATGCTTGAACAGTATGGACCATGTTAAGAGAGAAACAGACATTGAAATCATCCCTGTAATCACATTGTAGGGGTATGTACCAATGTCTAAAAAACTGTAAATTTTCGCTTTGAGGTTTCCCTTAGTAGGTGCCCCTTTCTCCCGGAAAGTGCCCTTTATTGTTGATGCCCCCCACACCTTTTGAACGACCTCATTTGCCCCTGGCCTACTCAAACCTCCGAGCTTCCAGGGGCGCCGCCCCCTGGACCCTACGCCAATTTACGCTACGCTCTACCTGTTCATAAATACTTTAGCCCCCCCCCCCTACTTTGAAAAACGTTCATCGGGGCCTGATGTGAGGTGTTTAAAGCTGCAGCCCGAATCAAGTTATTGCTGTCTGCCCATCACAACTGCTGCACTAGTCTTGTACTGACTGATTTTGACAATCAAGTGATACCCGAGGTATTAGGAATCTGTACCGTGTCAATTGTGGTTGTCAACATTGTTGCAATTGAATATGTTGTTTAGAAATGAAATAAAAAAGGATAAAAGATATACTTTATGGACTCTTGATCTTGATGAGGGAATCATTGCTGTGGTTAGTTATACATATATCAATATTAAACACTTACACCTAGAGGCAGTGGCGTACGCAGGATTTTTTCAAGGGGGGGGGGGGGCTTTAACATTTTGAAATCGGGCCAGCCGCTGAATAAGCGGGGGGGGGGGGGGGGGGGGGGGGAGGGTGGTAAAAGGACACTTTTTTTTTTGGTCCCAAAAAATCGCAACGACTCAGCCGGCCGCTGAATAAGCGGCGAGGGGGGGGGGGGGAGGGGTGGTAAGAGGACATTTAAAAAAAAAAAAAAAAAAAAAAAAAAAATCGCCGAAGGGGGGAGGGGGCTTTGTTCTAAAATACACACATAAAAAATAACTAAAGGGGGGGGTTAACCCCCAACCCCCCCCCCCCCCCCCTGCGTACGCGCCTGCCTAGAGGTACCGGTGCCATGAATACCAGTGTCCTAAAGACTTTTTGTCACAACGGGGTACTATGCGGACTGCACACATAGTCCCACTTCTTGTGTTTACAGTCTTTTCCTCCTATCATAAATTTATGCTGGATAAAGTCACAGATTTTAAATGATATCCTGGCAAAAAGTATACACCGAATTGCACAAATTGAGTTTACAAATTCGATTTTTCTTCAGCTTTTCAGGGGGACACATCCCCCCTCAGACTCCCCCTGTCCGCGCAAGCGCGAAACGCGGCGCTGACGCGCCGCTCAATATTTTCTCACAAATTGGCCCCCCCCCCCCCCTCGACGCCGGCTGGATCCGCCCCTGAGGGTCAAGTATAGTGTTAGGTACAGTTAGAATTTCAGTTTATGTAGGATATTGACCGCGGAAGAGTTGACATCAGATCTTAATCTTATAGACCTCAATTAACTTCATCTTAATTCTACACGGTTTACCATCGATAATTTGGAATGATTTTCAATCAAAGACGGATCCCTAATATGACTCTTAAAAGAGTGGATATCCACCCCTGTGGATCACGAGAAAAGCTAATCCGAGGTAACGGTAATTAAGGTTTGAAGTCGTCCCTGGATGGGAGGAGGTCCTTCTCTTTTCTATATTAACACCCCTTTTCTTCCATTAATATTTTTACGTTTTTAGAAGTAGGCCATATTCGAAATTTAGTTTCCTTATATAGAATATAAGTCAAAAGCAATCTTGAAAAAAATACAACGTATGTAAGATTATTTTAGGGCCTAGTTACATTACCTATTCTAATGCATGTCAAGTATGCAATTTACCAACTCTTGAGGAGAGGAGACTAGCTCTTTG